TCTTCCATAGACTTAGGTATCTCGCAAAACTTAAATGAGATACTACAGTTTTGGGAATTGGGACTAAACTTGCCTAAGAATAAGCCTAATATATGCTAGTCCTAGTGTGAGGTAATGACCTGGCCTTCATTTGGAAAACTCTTCAACAACCTCCTGGTGTGTGCTGTGAATGCCTGCCAGGGAGCATGCCTGTCAGAAACAGGTGGCTGCATGCTCACCTGAGGTAACAGGTTGCACGTAGGCCTTGCGTTTAGTCTGTTCTAGCCGTCTAGCCCAGGAGTGCCGGGCAGAATGCTTAAGTGTCTGAAGGTATGATGGTAATGACCAGACCCCTGGATGTAAACAACTCTGAAATTACTTGATTTGTGTTATCTGCACACAGTGGATGGAGCTTGGTGAGAAGCTCCAAGCTTGCAAGAACATGGAGCTTCTATACTGTTGTGAATTAAGCAAAAACTCCTTGCTAACTCCTTTACTAATTGCTTTATCTTGAAAGTTTCCCCTCTATTGAGCATGCTAATGCAGCCTGTTGTGGAATATTCTTCTGGTGCAGAGCTAGAAACTATAGCATGAATTGCAGTTCCAGTTATGAAGTATATTTTATGTATTTACATACATAGGTACATTGCATGTATGTCTGTGAGCCAGGCTTTGGAGAGGAATACTGCAGCATGGTGTGAGCTGGAGGTGAGGAGCAGCAGGATTTGTTGCCAAGCCCAGCACAGTGGGACTGGTATATGCAGACCAACTCCAGTTCAGTGTTTTTTGTGCTCTTCTCTCTGTGGCACAACAAGTTTCTGTTCCAGCCATGATCCCATGGGAGAATTCTCAGTAAAAGTGACCTAGCAATCAATAGCATCAATGTGTGGTTCCTGCACATCAGCTTAAATATCTGCTTATACAAATAGCTGCTGGGGAATTAAGCTGGTAGTGATGCAGTCTATCTTCCAGACGCAGCTCTTGCCTACTGAATAGCATGCATCAGGCTGTTATGCAGTTAAGCAATAAGTTGAATAATGAGTGTGATTGGGTGCTCAAGCTATGTTGTCGTGACTCTTGCCACGATGTTATGGTTTCATGTAGTCCTACTTATGCCTCACGTGATTATGTATTTTGGTTATCAGGTTAAACACTGAAGATACCTGTCCATTTGGAGAAGCAGAGAACACTTTATCCTATAGATTAGAAAACCAATAAGAAAAGAGTTCCAACTGTACCAGTGCTTTCAGCACAGGAGGTTTTCGGGTGCACCTTGTTAGCAAATAAGTACTGGGAGTCAGCAAGCAGCCTCTTGTTATAACGCTAGCGATTAAAGTGTTAACTGGAGCCTCCCTGGAGGTGTAACCGTGACTAAGAGAGGGCTCCTGTCCGTGTGGAGGAAGGAAGGTGGTAGGACAGGCTTCCCGGCGTGCCCGAGCCGCGGGGAGTGGCCTGGCTTGCCAGCGCTCCCGGATAGTGAGCAGAGTGCTCACTAAGGGCACCTAAAGGAGCGAGGGCAGCTGACGGCTGGCGTGAGCCCGTCATGCCCCTTGCAGGGCTCGGGGAAAGGTGTGCGAAGCGCCGCCTCCGCCTCTCTGTTTCGGGTCAGGCACGCAGGTAAGTGAAACGTCAAGCGGGAGCTGTTCTGCCTTGGGCGTAACCTGCTGTGTCAGTAGAAAGCAAGGGGCTTTGCGGTCGTCCAGAACTCCAGACAAATTCCTTTTGGGTAACTGGTGTGCTGCAGGGAAGGAGAAGTGTTCAGTCAGGGAGAAATCTGCCTGAAAGAAGTCCCCAAGTCCCCAGGTGGCTTGGGTTAGCTCGATACTGCTCGGTGCCGCTGCTCTGGGTAAACACAGGCAGAAGCCTTGGCTGCCCTTCAGCCAGTTGCCAGTGTGACCATAAAGGTCACGTTGGTGACCTTGTCTGTTCTTGTTAGCCGGCACAAGCTCTCCTTACTGCACTACCTGACAGAGTCATTTCTCTTCATAATAATGCTTTATGTATAGAGTTTGAATTCTACCTTGTAGAGCAGGGTATCAAACCCTTCTGTGTACCCCCAGTTTTTGCAAGGTGAGCAACCTTTGAGATCTCTTCCTTCATGCCCTGCAAGCCAAGGGGCCATATTCACTGAGAGGTACCTGCTGCCCTCTGGTTTCAGTCATCGGCTCCTGTTCTGACCCTGCCTGAGCTGCGCGGTGCTGTGTTGTGCTCAAGTGGAGCTGCCCCTGCTCTGTGCAGCCATCAAACATGAAGAGTTTTTCAAAATTAGAAAAGGTGTAGACTGTCAGGTGGGAAACACTCAAGTGTTGGGAATAAGTAGTTTCCTTTTCAATATTATCTTTGCTTTGCTGGTGACTAGCTAAACACTTGTTTTGCTGAAATTGAATTTATTATGCAGAATACAAACTTAATCCTTAACTCTTTTTTGCAGAATATGTATTGGATTAACAAATCATAACAGAACGAATACTAGCAGGTCTTAGGAAGCGAATTGAATGCCCATGTGATGCGATGCCTACACTCGGGAGCTCTTTATGCCATCAGAAGTGTTGGCTACTTTGCTGATTGCTAAATTAATAGGCAGTTGAGGTGTATGGTTTATACATGGTAAACTGAGAACACTTGCACCATCTTAACTTCTTGTATTTCTAGAACAGCTTCTAACAAGTAATGATACACAGAGATCGGTTGGGCTTTTCGGGGTCTTCGTTTTTCCTAGCACTGGCAGGAGCTCAGCAGCACTAAGCCTTAAAATATGGACTTGCCAAGAAGTACTCTGGCTACTATGTATAAATTAAAACTCTGCCTTGCTGCTCTTTACCTTTCTTTTGGTATATCCTTCTACCAGCCTCTTTCTACACTCATCCCCTGTAGATCTGCCTGGCCCTTTGCTGCTCCTCTGACCCCTCGCCTCTTAAATTTTCCTAGACTCTTCCTGCTGTTCCTGTCTTCATCTGGAGGCCTTTTTTTTTTTTTTTTTGCTTTGTGTCTGTCTCATTCCACATCTGTTCCTGTCTTGTGCTTACACACATATCTTAGGTTGCAGTCAGCCTTCCTCAACTTAATTCAGAGCTAATTCTCCAGCCATGCGATTAGCCTAAACAAGGTGCCACTTGGAAGTCAGCTGAGTGTAAAGATAACTTCTCTCAATCTGTGCAGATCAGCTCTTTCCTTCATATGAACCGTGTTAAGGTCAAATTATGTCTAAAAATATGCAGCTATGAGCAGTGAGGCATTTAGAGGCTTTGTGAGAGTAGCTGTTCCAGGTTTAAGAACAGTGACCTGACTGTAAAACAGGCTGTTTCCTGACACCTGGAAGGGATTAGCTTAGCTCTTTATCCAGCTATTCTGATGCCAATATATATGTGGCATGAATCTTTCCGAACTGCTCTGACATAGGCAACTGACTTGGTTAAAGATGGTAGTAAATGCTGTAAAAGCAGATTTCAGAGTACAACTGATGTGGGATGCTAAGAAACACTTGCTATATTGGAGTGAAGCCATCTCTTCCCTATGTCCAAGATTCTGTACCCATGTCACTGGCCATAATGAATTTTCTGGGCTATTTCCTTGCTTCTAGGTGTCACACAAAGCTCAGGGATTGAATGGGATCATTCCCACTCCTGATCACACATTAGTAGAAATTGCTGCTTCTCACCCCAATCCCACTAAGTAGCGAACTTTGGTTTTAGAGGTTGTAAGGTAACTATGTACTTCATAGGTTTAATATAAAATATCTAAATGCACAAGTTCATTTACCTACATGTATTTTTTTTAAACCATACATCTGTGACTAGAAAGTTTGTGTTACTGCCTCTAAAAAGGAGGCTCCACAAAATAAGTTTACTTTTGCAGAGGCTAGGCAGTCTTTCTTCAGCTAACTGTGATCTGAGCTTTAATTTCCTTTCTTTTTTAGAGTGTTCTTATGAAAACTTTTGTCAATTGAACTATAGGCAATAAGCAGATTTTTAGGCTTTTATTTGGCTAGGCTTTGTTCCATTAAATCTGAAGTTAAAACTTGGGTCAGGAGAGCTACATCTTAGCTTTCTTAAAAGGTAGATTTTTTTTTTTTTTTTTCGTCAGAACGATTTTGTGGATTTAAGTGATTTTTTTCCCAGTTTTATTCTGGCACAAGTGAAAATGAGCATTACATTCTGCATTAGAGAAATTCATCTATCATAGAGCCTGAGTAGGAGAGCAGTGGTGTGATTAACTTACAATGCAATACTTTGAGACTTAACTGCTTTCCATGGGATAAGTTTTTTTTCCCTATCCATGTGATGCCACCTCTTGAGTAGAGACTAAGTTGTGGCCATGAAGCACCATTTGTTAGTCTTGATTCTCTTTGGTGGCTTTGGTGAGTCTGCCTTTTCTCTTAACACCCTGGGGTGAATGAAAGCAGCCAGGACTCCGTAATTTGGCTTACTGGAGAATGCATCTCATTGGTCTGGCTTTTTGCCTACATAATTTAGGTGAAATAATGAGACAGAAATCTGTCGATTATATTGCTACATTGTTCTAATTATAGCCTTGTTCTGTCTTTATTACCTCTGCTTCTTTTCCTGGGTGCTGCAGGACTCTACCAGTGGTCAGCAGTTGCCCTGGTCCCATCCCACAGACCCGGCTAGGTGCGATTTGCTGAGCCGCTGCTTTGGGGTGGCCCAGAGTTAACGAGTGAATCTGTAGATGGGTTGCAGCCTCAGTGTAATGAGGAGTCGAGTACAATCGTGGAGTACTAGTGGAATCCCCAAACTCTTGGGGAAAAGTTGTTTTTTAAAACTACTCAGGATTTAAGGTACTGTGATATGGCTGGTGGGAATGGTATACCATTTTTTTAGTAGAAGAGAGAAAATTTGAGGCATTAAGAAGGTTAAATATAAAATACCCCAAATAAAGTATAGCCAGAAGTGCCAAACTTGTTAAGATGGAGCCTGCTTCACTTGCAACTATGATATCATTGCTCTAGTCTGCTACTTGGTCTCTTCTTAGTGGCTTAAAGGAACATAATTTTGTTTTGTTTAGTCTCATCTCTTCTGAGTAAATGAAGAAGGCAACTATGAAAGCACAGCATTTACCTTCTGTTTCCATCAATGAGGAGAAGTGTATAACCAGGTAAGTGCCTACATGGAGACACTTAGTAGTTACTTTGCCCAATTCCAGTTACCCCGTTTACTCAGTTATCTAGCTGGCCTAAATACTGTGTCTTTAAGCATAACAGCTGATAATATCCATGGACAAATGCATAGTGCTCAGCTGAGAAACACAGGCGGATTCCCCCAGCTTAGAGCTTCTGGTGAGTGTGTTCAGGGCTCAGCTGTTATTTACCGCCAGGGTGCTTGACCTTAATGCTCTCATGTATCCTGCCTTCGCTGCTGAAGAAGCTAGTGGAGTTGCAGTAAATGCTGACTTGAGGTTTGTTGCCAGCAAGTTCTTTGAGTCATTTAGCTGTGACTTTCTGTAATGCTTCCGTTTGGCAATTGTCCCAGAGGTGCGTGGTGAGGAACAGTATCTCAGTGTAACTGGGATGTGCATTTTCTGAGGGCCTCCTTATAAGGGCAAGCTAGGGGTCTTTGGAGCGTGAAGATGTTGCACTAAGACTAATTTTGGAACTAGTAAGCTGGTACATGTACTACTGCTTCCTGGGCCAAAAAAAAAAGCTCAAGACAATGATTTACTTGTCTAAGGTCTCTCTAGTGCACAAGGACAAGCAAGTCAGTGAGCGGCTGTTAGACTTCTCCCTCAGGGCTTCAGTGGCTTGCATGGCTTGTCACTGTCCATTGCACTAATGTAAGACTGAAACCTGAAGGGTTTGTTTATGCAGACTTCATTGATCATTAATGAGAAGCCTTCCTGGGCAAGGAAAAAAACTAAAAAAATAAAATAAAAACTCAAGGCTTGCCTTATTGAAAGAAGGTTAAATGGTAACAGTCTCAGAGTCTTTGCCACATGGCTTAGATGCTTTTGGCCTGTGATTGATTTTTGTTTTATTATTTTTTAATTGATGTTGCAACCAAAATGGGTGAAGAGTAATAGATAGGCTTTGTTATCAGACCCAGTCCTTATGTACTTTTTAATCTATCTTCAAGGAACAGACCCCCTAGCTTTCCACCTGGAAGATATTGCCAAGTAACAGCTGTCAGGGACGTAACTGCAGAAGATACTCTGTTGCTGAGTATAAGATGACTTAAATTTTATGCAACTCACATGCAGCATGGGAAGACCTGTCACTGCCTATGTCCAACCAGAATAAGGACCTCATCCTCGCACCTAAATCTGCATTTGGGTGTGGGTCGTGCCTATGTGCTCATGTGCCTCTGCTTTTGGTAGGGTAACCTCAACACGGTCCCTCGTAGCTTTGCAGCTCACTGAATGCCAAGGACCAGTAAGAAGCCATTCCCGCAGAGTGAGAACGAAGGCGTTCCCCAGCCCTAGTAACAGAGTTTAAAATGGAAGTGGCTTGAAGTACAAGTTGAAAATACTGCTTTGAAGCCCAACCCTCTGTTGACCAAGTCACTTGGAAATACATTTGAGGACGTATAATGGGTTGTTAAAATCAATAGATTAAATCCAGAGTGCTTTGAAGAGAATGCAGTTAATCTTAGGGAGGTCGGTGGTAAAAGATCTTGTCCTAATCCTGCCAGCTGAATATAAGCAGTTTTTCTCTTCTCCTCTCTCCCTCCCTGTCACAGTGTGGGTGGACAAGAAGCACTGAGCAACATGGCACTGCTCTGTAGAGGTGGTGTTGGCACTGACCAGCTCAAGTGCTGGGCTCATGGGCAGCAGCTCTGCTCCTGCGTGCAGCCGTTGCAGCTCGGGTGCTCTGTGTGCACATGGTGCCGGGTGTCTGCGTAAGCCTCCTATTACCTTGCCTCCATGCCTAGGAAAGGAGCAGGTACTTCGGGTCTTTGTCCCATGTAGAGAAACTGCTGTGATGTGGTTCTGCTCACAGTTTGCCATGTGCTTTGGGTGTGTGGAAATGGGTAAGAATGAACGAGAAGCATGAGTGGAAGGCCCCTGCTGGGAGCGCAGACAACACAAACAGAATGTGTAGGGTGACTGCACATGTCTTAAATCGCAGAAGAGGCTGTATGGAATAGTAATAAGACAGTATGATGGAAACGGGAGAAGATGCTTTTGCTGGCAGATTGATACGTACTTAAAACATACATGACAGCCAATTAGCCCAAGTGTTTCCATTTCCACTATCTGTACTTTTTACCCAATACATCCCTTTGTCTTTTGCATCAATTTCATGTCATTTGTCTTAAGTGAGACGCTCTGAATGTGGCTACTGGTTTTTTTTAACTTAGTACAGTTAGCAGGCAGCATTGAAGCTGTTTGAACAGTCATGATCTGATCAGAGATGCAGTTTAGTTATATTTGTCCTGCATGAAACTACCCTCCCCGCTGCCTGCAGTGCAGGGCCTGACATTTTGACAATCGATTTTCCCATATGTCATTTATTGCTTCTTTCCTCAATTACAAGGCCCATACGGGCAATACCGATGGTGTGAGCTGGTTGCTGCCCCAATCTGTCCTGGTCTGCAGGTGCCAAGGGAGCACAGCTGGGAGCGGGGCATGTGCAGCCTCTTGGGAAACGACGGGGTGGCTGCACACTGTGGCTTTACCTGCCCCGAGAGTCACAGGGGTGCAGAGCGCCCTCACTGGGAGCCCAGAAATCCTGTGTTGAAAATCAAGTAAAATCCAGTTATTTTTCCCAGGGAAAATTTCCAAAGGGAAGAGGAGGCTATGCCCTGGAAACTCAGACACACAGAAGCTCCAGTTTGGTTGTTTTGCGAAGTTGTAAAGTTTTGCAAAGACACCTTCTCCTTAGGCTGGTCTGCGGCATTGTAAATTTAGCAGGCAAGAAAGGAGGTAGATGTGGTTGTCCTTGCTCTTGGAAGTTAAGCTTTTCCAGGACCCCTAGCCCTTAGATTGTCTTCCTGTCTCTATGCAGTGTTGTCACAGCGGAACATTATGCTCCTTTTTCATTTCATTTTATTGTAGAGCTGCTTTCTTTTTGACATCTGAGACAATAGGCATGTTTATAACTCTCGCCAAAAGCCTTTTTGGCAAGTGCTCTCTTCATCTCCATCCCTTTTTCTCTGAGTAAAGACTAAATGTAAAGCTGTTATGTTGCAAAGAGAGGGTAGCTCTAATAGTTTGCCTCAGCATAACCTAGATATTTTAATAAAAAGAATACTTAGCCAATAAATGCAATGAAAACAACTAGGGGAGGTAGATTTTATAACCTAACTGAAGTCACAACGTTTGTGTATGGGAGTGTTTGTTTCTGCACTCATGACTGTTAACAGAAGTCCAAAGTACAAGTGATTCAATGGCAGTGTTATTAAGGTCACATTAGAATGAGATGAACTCATGCTCTTTGTTGGTTAGAAGCAACTAAAAGCAACCCAGGATTCCAGACAAACATTTACTACTGGAGGATATTGTCTTGATCACCAGCAAGCCCATATAAAGTTCCAGTATGGGTAACAAATGGGTACAAGGTGTCACTCAGCCCCTCAGTGATGTGGATTTCACAGTGATAGAGATGGATAAAAATGATTCTTTCATTGTGATCTTTTCTTCCAGAGAGCAGCTTAGTTCTCTGCTGAAGACATATAACTCGTATTATTCCGATCAAGAAAACCTGCAGCTGTCATATAATCAGGTAAGGAATCCACACACTGAAAATATCTGATACAAAATCATGGTATTGTAGGAAATGCTCCAATGAGTGCTGATGCTGAATGCAGCTGGGTTACAAACTGTGGCACATCAGTGTATCAGATGTCATTTTAACCAAAATAGGCCTGACAATACACCAAAGTATGTGTTACAGCCAGGTTTCATGACAAGAAAGCAGAAAAAGGTATCTGGTTAGAGGTGTACAAGTGTGATCTCCCTGCTACCCTGCTTGCTTTTGTATCACAGAAAATATGCCTTTGGGTCCCCTCTCAAGTGCTGCGTTTGGAAGGGCACATCTTGGTGTCTCATGCAGCTCCCACTATGCTCCCTCAGCTTGCAGTGGCAGAGCTGGATCGCAGCAAGAATGGGTACTGATAAGGTCCTCTGGGCTGATGCAGTGCCCCGTGTAGGCAAGGACCATTTCATTAACCCCATACTCCTCTTCAGCTCTTCTTTTTTCCCTTTACTATTCTTTTAGTGCCATTTCTTAGCGCCATAATGTTATAGTTGTAGCTGGCAACTCTTGTTCTAGCCAAAAGGGAGATAGCTACAGACTACACTTGAACTGATGGCCTTTGTTATTAGTCAGTAAACACTAACCATGCCTCTATTTTTATTATCATTTTTTAGACAGAAGGCAGCAAACCTTTTATTGAAGGAATCTTGTCAATATTTTGGGGAGTCCGGCATCCTATCCGATTAAAAATTCAGGATGAGAAACAGATACCTTCTTTTGTGACCCTGAAATCAACAGAGAACATTGGTTTGTTTGCCAGTAAAAGGTAATGTTTTCATTTCTGTAAGGAGAGGACAGGCTGATAGTGAAGGCAGCTCCCAGGAACGGCTGCCCTGGACACAGTGTTTGTGTCCCAGGTTTTCCAAAGGCTGCAGCCGTCGCTTGCACAGTAGGACTGAGTGCCAAGTATAGCAGGGGCTGCTCTCGCCTTCAGATGGCTTCTGCTGTGCAGAAAGGATACAGCTGTGTAATAGGTCTACCTTTTAGCTTCACAACAGTGAGGTGGAGGAGGAGCCTCCTCTTTTCTGTATTGACTGTTTCTGTGCAAGTCCTGAGAACTTGAGAGGATTCATCTTGTTGGCTGCAAGAATGGCAGTTTTGCTTGTGGGGAGAGGCAGCAAGAGCAGCAAATTTTTAGCCCTTCTCCCAGGGTATCCTAGGAGAAGTGAGACTCCCACTTCTGCAGCTTCCCGCAGGCCCACACGCGCTCGGCAAGCAGCTTGGCACAATGGGACCCGCGGGTGCTGACCCTGAGGGCCCCGTGTTGGTAGGTGCTGGCCTAAGGCAGCAGGCTGCTCGCACAGTGCTAAGTGGTTCTCTGCCTCACATGGGACTTTAGGTAGTCCAAGGGTAACACGGTTGCTTCACAGAGCAAAATTTTAACTGGGGAATGAGTGAAGCTTGGGCCATACTAAATCAATGGTAGAAAGCACTATAAAACGCACAGATCAGCTGCTCCTTCAGGCTGCTACTTGCGAGATTGTCTATCTAAGTGCATTGCATTCATCTGCATCCTGTTGGGTTTGCTAGACATTTGAAAGTACCTCTTGGTGCCTAGAATTTTCCCTTTTCTATTTCTAATGCTATTTTCAGGCCTTGGCTGGTGAACCTGGGATGAAGCAGTCATCTGTAATATAGAAACTGAGCCAATATTTACCCTGAATGATTTCCTCATAAATTGTACATTTAAGAGCTTTTTATGTTCTTTATCCATTGTCTTGTATTGCATGTGGCCCATGAATGATTTATGGATTAAATTTTGCACTCACTGCAGCTGTGCAGCTCCAGCAAAGCTAGGGACAATCTTCCTATCTCTTGCTATGGAAATAGCCAAGCAGCAGTAATCAGCCAAGCACTTGCATGGGAGGCCAGTCTTGTTCACTCTGTTTACACCGAACGGGGCTGCTGATGCTGGGTGCATGTGGCCTGCAGGCTACGGGCTACTCTGGCAGCTAAAGTTTTGCTCTGCCTTTTATTTCTTGAAAAATATACTTCTGGTAACAGATTTGAATCTTAAAGTAAACATTAATTCACGATCACAGAATTAGGAAACTGCCCAGACATGCTTTAAGGTATGCAGAGCAGCTTAACTGTTTGATCTTGAGTGAATGTTTGAAACGTATGGAGAAAACTGAGATAGACATTTGGTGTTTCTGCTGAAGCTGGTTGAATGTTATTTTACATATATACAGACCTAAAATATATTTTTCTGTGAATTGATTTATTTACTGCTCTTGGATCAAACAATAACTGGTCAGAGAATTTTTGCTAGTGGATTTATTCAGTGAATTACAGAAATAACAGGTTAAAATTGGATCTTAAAACTGAGGCATTTATTTCAGACCAGGGAGAGATGGACTGGATCCCTGTTCTCCTACAAAATTGGCTTGGATGGAGTGCCACAGGCAGGGTAGCAGTTTAACACTTTCATGTACATCTGAGAGGTCTCCTGAGAATATTTAGACCACAAAGTTGGAGGCGGGGGGGGGCCTTTTTTCTTTTTTTTCAGTGATATCTTACTGTCTTATGCGTGATCATTTGAGGACTTGGCTATAGAACAGGTGAAGAATTGCTGCCAATAATTTAAGAGGGATCCTGCTTAAACCTTCAACAGGCTCTATATAGGAGTATGGGCTGCCTTTGGGATCTCTAGTCATATCTTATTTTGCTTGCTATAGTTTTATAATTTTAGTTCTACAGTTTTAGTTAATGAGCTAGAATTTGTGGCTTTATATACCACATGTAAGTTTGTAATCATTTTGTATAAAGCTTTGAACAGAGATAGGAATGTGTTACATGAATCCTGGCTATGGAATAAATGGAATTCACTGAGCTAATCAAGAATCATCAACTCTGGTATTTCAGGGGAATGACGCGCTGGGGAGAATTTGATAATCTACATCATATTAGTGGGGAGACACTGAAATCTGCAGAAGAGAAGTCAAACCTGGAGAAAAGTTAGTCCTGTTCTTCTTGCATTCACCAAAACACCCTTTGCTTTGTTATTGTGCAAAAATAATTTGATATAGTAAGTCTTCCCTGTAGGCCAAGGGGGATCTTTGTCCTCCTGTGCTGGACATCTGTAACAGGCTAGTGAAATACTGCAGCAGAAACACTGGCACGTAGCAGGTTAGTGAAGCCAGTGATGTACGGGTAATTTTCCAGGTGGCCCACGCTTATGGGTGCTTTCAGCTGAAGAAGCTACTCCCACAGAGCCTGCCGAAGAGGGAACTGCTGCTGCTGCAGCTCTGACCTTGATAGGCTGGTCCTCCTTGTCCCTGCCTTCCCCCCATGATGCCCCCACCCCGATCCCTCGACCGAGAACCTGTGTCCTGGGGTAGCACTGGCAAGGAGGGCAGAGCCATTGTGCAACATGCTGACACAGTTTCATTTTTGTCCAGGTTATTCATGTTATGAAAGCAGCACTCTGAAGTCCAAGAGCGAGCAGGAACATGACTCTGCTTCCCTGCCCAGAACCCTGAGCGATGCCGCAGTGGTGAGGAAGAGGACCAAGTTCCCCATGATCGCAAGAACAGAAGTGGAAACTCACAGGTTTTCTATTAATGGACACTTCTACAACTATGAGGTGTGAAAATTCACCTGTTTGTGCTTGTGTTCCTCCCCCTGGAGTTGGGTACTGGGGCAGATGGAAATCTCCAGAGAGTTTTAGAACCTCTCCTGGAGGCCACAGCCAGGGGAAGCTGTCCGCTCTGCCAGGCTGTGTCTCTGAGCCTTGGGCTCCGCGCCCGGTGTCTGGCTGCTTTGGGCCCCGTCAGGAAGCTGGCTTGCCAGTGTGCACGGCAGCCGTGTGGGGTGGTGTGCATGGCTGTCCCGTGTCCCACGTGAAGAGGCAGTTCCCTTTTCCCGAGCAGACCCACTAGCTCTTCCCTTGATGGCTGCACGGCACCACTGCTGGCTGATTCCTTTATCCCAGATCTCTGCTGTGTTGTAGATCCTTTGGGCAATGGCTGTTGAGTACAGGAGTCCTCACATTCTCATGTTCACACCATCTTGCTCATTGTCTTATTTCTAGACATCAGTTTTCACTCCAGCTTTTGGATCAGAAACCAAAATTCGAATAAACAGCCGTATGAGAACACGAGAAGTAGTAGAGCAGCTGCTTCGAAAGTTTAAGGTAAGTTTGTGTGTCTGCAGGGGCGAGGGCCGTTGCTGTCTAGACAAGTTAGCGCTGTCTACTGCAGGAAAGAATGGGAATGACTGGAAGAATAGTGCACAGAACACACCTGGGTCATTTCTAGGGCTGTTTGACTCTAGGAAACATATATGAAGCATATAGAGAATCTGTACTCTGAAAACTAATTCATAGGAGAGAAAAATGCTGCTCCATACTTAGGCTTTCTCAGCACAGAGAGGGCGTTTGGCTAATGCACGTGGTCATGCTTCCCTCTAGTGATAGGCACTGGTCATCACGCGCTTCTGAAAACAAAAGGAATTGTAACTTCATTTAGTCAAAGGGCTTGGGCTAAATTAGACTAGGTCTGGGCACTAGGAGGAAGTAGAAAACTAGAGTTAAAAATAATGCTCCAGAGCAATGCTGTAGTGTCTGGAATTCCTTTGCCATTCCCATTTTGGTACTCTCTTCAGTTATCATTGTATATTTCTGACCAAATATAGCTTACCTGGTTTATTTGAAATGTTTTGTTCTGCTTAAACTACATACAGAATTAGCAAAAAGTAAAATAATAAGCAATTTAGAGATGTTGCTATTGCACAATGAACTGACACAGACAGTAAGAGTCTAAGGTGAAATAACAAAAGGAGAATTTAACTTCTATGAATAGCAACATAATGAAAGGCATTACTGTGACTGTCGTAAAGCTGTAGAGACTCAGCTTAAAATAAATGTGTCCAAAATGACTGCTGTTTTCCAAATGTGCTCATGCAGGCTAGTGGATGGGAAGAGTTCCCAAGTTTTTGTCTTAATGCCAATATTCTCAGCAAATCTGACTGTCACGTAGGAGAGTTCTTTGAACTTTTTAAGGAAACAAGGCTCTAAGGATCTGGTTTTCTAAGATGATCTGTTGCTCTTTGGGAAATCAAATGATAAGGTTTGTAATCATGGCATTTAGTACAGGGACAATGAAAATGGCAGCATAGTTTGATACCTTATTTAAACATAGAAAATGTTCAGTCTTCTTTAGGAGTCCCAACCTCAGAATTTGATTTGGACTTCTGACTATGTTGACTTTCTGCTGGCAGTGAAATGCTAGGGAAGCATCTCCATCAGCCTGAACTGACTTTGTTTTTTGCATTTAACAGATAGAGAACAGTCCACATGAATTTGCACTTTATATTATCCATGCATCAGGAGGTAAGGCAGACACTGCTGTAGGATGCTGTGCGTGTGTGGGGACAGCTCACCTAGGGGTTTTGGGATGAGCTGCTAACATGTGTCCTTACCCTGATGTCCTGGTACAGGGTGGGGTTTCTGCCTTTGTTGGAGACATTTAGAGATAGATGCTGCTCTACTAGAAAGGAAAACTAGAACCCATTTCCTGGGTACACTCTCCTTAGGAGTCCTGCAGGCACAGTTGGCTCAGCCAAATAGGCCTTAGTTTTTCCTGGTTAAAAGACTTTGAAATGCTGTTTACCTTCTGTTCTGTACAGCCACATGGAGTTGATTGATGGCAGGCACCAAGTGGTAGTTTGTACTGTGTTTTACTGAAAGCAGTGCTATAAGGTTCTTAGAGAGTGCTAGGAGGTGCCTAGAGTGGCTTTGAAATGCTAGTTGGATAAATATAGGTCACTTAGACTTTTCTTTTTTGTTTTTTGGTAACTTTTGCAACATTTGTTTTCTATCCCAGAAAAGAAACAGCTGAGGAGTGGAGACATCCCCTTACTGCACAGGCTCTTACAGGGGCCTTCAGAGAAGATTGCCCAGTTTTTTCTCATGGACAGGGATGTAGAGGAGGTCAGCAGTGACGTACGTATATCTCCAGGGTGATCATTCTCATGGTTTTGCCCAGTTAGCCTGCTCACTGATGTACATTTCTTGTCTTCCTAACAGGTTGCTCAATATATTCAGTTTCATCTTCCCTTTTTGGAATCAATTCTGCATAGACTGAATGAAGAAGAAGAACAGGAGATTCAGCAGACAATTGCAAAGTAAATAGGAGTAAAATTAGTGGGGTCACTGTCAGTCCAGGAGAATTACAGTTACGGGTTGGCTCAAGAGGTGAATGCATTTATGTAGTAGGGGGTAGATTGTGCTATACTATGAATTCTTATCCTAAACTTTGTGGGTTTATAATCATCCTTAGAGCCTACATCCCCAGATCAGCTGTCCTTCCTAAAGCTTTCAGAATAAATGCTGGACTGTATCTATGACATTTGATAATGGTTTGGCAGAAATAATCCAGTGGTGAGGGAGCCTGAGGCTCAGTTGTGTTTAACTTCACCTTCTGAGCCTTCGACTAATTTCTGCGCATGTGTTTGCTGTGATCTATTTCCCTGGAGGGTATAAATGCACTAGATATTGTGGTGGTATTTAAGTAGCATAGCATTTTATCCAGAAAAGTACAAAATCTTTAATACCACTTTAAAACTTGTATTCTAATTAATGGCATAGGTTCTTCTGGTAGCAGCTTGACATACACAACAGGTACGATGGCCTTTTAGAAACACAGCACTAGTCCTAAATATATAGGAGAGCTGAGGTCAAAAGGAAGGCCAGTCTGTGACAGCTGAGGATCTGTTATGAAACAACCGTCTGATAATCAGTTGGCAGTTACCAGTTCTCTATCAGAAAAGCTTTCATTAAAGTATTTTTCACCCATTCAGTTAGCATGTTAAAAATTGGTCGAACTTTAGAAAGGTTCTGTGTTACTAAATGCATCCTCTCTCTCTCTGTGCCTCAGATACCTTAAAGAGAAGAGTATGATACGCCAGCACCTCCATAGTCGAGCTGTCAAGAAAACAGAGACTACTGTTTGACATGACTGGCTTCTTGGGGACATCACCTGTGCCAAAAAACAGTCGGTATATCGTCTTGATCTTGAAAATATTATGATTGTGCCATAACTGAAGAACACTTACAGCATAAGGGAGTTTAAATTGCTAAAGTTTCTTTGGATTAGGCAACTGAGACTGGACCTACTCCATTACAGTTCTGGAATACAAGTTGGAACCACCTTAAAAGATGCATGAAACCCTTCAAGTGACAAATGCTGAGTCCAGCTCAAAATTCAGCAGAGAAACATTCATGTGACAAGTGCAAGGCTTTGAAACCTACTCATTTCCAAGCCACTAGCAGAAGGGTTGCATGAAGAGAAATGTTGCAATAACCAATGCATTAAACATACCAAAAAAAAAAAAAAAGAAAGTACATTTCTTCTCTTAGAGAAACATTGAATGTATTTAGAAAGAAGCTTTTTAGTAGATTTAAGGAACAAAGGATATTCAGGTACCTAAGAATGCAGTCGGGCTTTTCAGTTAACTTGAAAAACATCCACACAAGCAAGGTACTTGAAGTCCCACTGCTTATAGAGTGGTTGTCACCTCTCATTTAAGCCTTGAGCTACCACCTGAATAACAGAAACAGAAAATCTTCTGCTTTATAGATACTAAGCTCTTTAAGGTAACAGTGAATTTCCCTGGCAAATGCCTCTTAAACTGCAAAGTAGGAGTTCTCGTGGAATATTGCTACGTCTGCCTGATCAGTTTCTGGATGGTGACACCTCAGCAAATTTCTTTTTGTTGCAACGTAAGTGACAACTTGCTGCTCTGTGTGTTGTATATTTGAAGAGTAAAATAACAAGTGTTCGGTATGAAAGGCCAAAGGATGTAAACTTAGTTTTAGTCGTGATGGGACACAGAGGGTCGGGCTGACATTCTTCCCCAGAGAGGCAATTTTTGGGGCCCCAGCACAGCGTACAATAGTCAGTTTTTTGTTCCTTTCTGTTAAAATCCTGCCAAGTAGAAAAACTCAAGTTGCAGAGATGTAAATAAAACGAAAGCCATGCACAAACTGCCACCCTATATTGGTTTGTTTTTCTTATGCGGTACCTGTGTTCTTCCTCTGCTAGCACTTCCTTATGCAGAAGACACAGGATAAACACTGTGAGGGAGGGAATCAGTGTGCAGCAAGTCTGACTTAGAAATGATGTGGAATAAATGAGATAAGGGGTGGAAAAACTATCTCCCTTTGAGATGGTGTTACTTGGATGGTAAGTAAAAACTGAAAATGAAATAATCAGTTGAAATGATTGTGCTCAGGGCAGGTGGTTTATTTTAATGTATAGTCTGTTTTAAAATTCAAATTCATGAAGATGATTTACAACAGGGGAGGACAGAGGGGAGAACTTGAAATAATCCAGCACTCAGAATACATGGTAGTAACTAGCAGTTGCCTGAGAGGTGCAAATGTCAATTGCTTGCAATAACAAAATTACGCGAGTGTCATGGAAATTTCACAAGAGAACCACTCACATATTTATTTGCCAAGTTTCGGGAGACAAGGAACTTTACTTAACATTAGACGTGCAGGGAAAAGTCAGATTTTAAGGAAACCTGAGGTAGTCTTCAGTTGATTTCAAAGTATTGCTCTTACCCAAAGCCAGGCTTTTTTGCTTGTATATAATTAGTATGAAAGAATTTTAAGTACTTTGTGCAGACTAGCCTATTTTTTAATACAGGTTCCATTTAGTAAATAGTTATGGCAATGTATACTACATAAATATTGGGGTAGGAAACTTTTATAATTCACTTGGCCAAATTAAAAGTGCTCAATGCACAGACCACGTGAACAAGAGGGAAGATGTTTCTAACCATCTTCTCCATTTCTTTATATATGTGCACGGTTTATAAACTGAGCTATTTTTGCAATCATCTGGATTGAAGTATTTCCGTCTCATTATGTTCATTTGTCTGGCTCAATTGGGACTAAGCCCAGGATACTGTGGGGTCAAGTACAGATTTTCTATAGTGTGTCCTGTGTTTTAAGAGCTAGTGAAATAAAGCTGCCACACTGCTGTGGTGATAGTTCTTCATGGATACTGCAGTCATTTAAGTGAATTATGTGATGAATATAGACAAGGACAAGGAAAGAATTTATTCCAAAGCATTTCTGGATATGGGAAGTAACACAGTAATGAAATATGAAAGTGAATCAAGAATATGGGAGTTTTGTTTGAATCCAGGGCCTAAGACCGTAACAATTTAAGGGAAGAAAACAAAGAATTTATATTAATTTTCTACCACCAAGCTACACAGTGAGAAGCATCCTAAGTTGTCACTGAAATTTAAAAAAAGAGGAAAAAAAAAGAACCACCTTCACAAATTCTGTAGGACTGATTTTCATCAGGATATGAAGTCCTAAGCAATGCTGTTAATTAAATGGCAAATAGTCTTTAATCATTTTTTGCATTCAAAACACGACTGATACTTAGGTAATACTTGTCCAATATGTGTGTGTTTTTCAGAGCTCTCCAGTGCTGGAGGGCCTTTCTTTTTCCCAGGCTGCCCAATCCTTGTGCTTTGTTTCCCCCTTGCCCCGTGCACAGGATCAGGTCTGTCTTCATCCTTGGGAATTCATATTTTAGGAATATGAAGATTCGTATGCTCATATGGCACCTTAAGCTGAATAGCCCTATTCTATTCCATTTTTCTTTTTGCTTTGTTTTCTGAATCCTTGGCTGTTGTTCCTTGTTTCAGGTGGAGTTTCTTCTACAAGTGAGGTAGCCAAGATTTGTCTTAATGCTCCAGCAAGTCCTTACCAGTGACGGGGAGAATGGAGTGATGAAACTGTGTGTGCTACAGGCCATGCTTTAGTTTATGCCCCAGTATGCAAGCAAGATGCCAGTCTTGTTGCAACTGCAATGTTGCAACATGAAAATCTACTAAACTTCTACATATACTAAAATTCTGCAGATGTTTAATCATACCAGTGTTAGATGTGAAGTTTGACCTAATATAATGCATGGAGGTATTTGTCCATGAGACTTTTGTGCAGTTTTTACTTATCCTGTGTATATTTGCAAATGGGCAAACTCCAAATGTTTCTGTTTTCCTCAGGCATCTCCTTTACTTTGGTCATAGCAGAAGTTGGTGACATTGCTATAGGTGGTGTAAATTGTTATGACTTGATTAGATTTGTATTTACACCAAGTAAAGAGCAAAAACATAATATTCTCCACTGTGGCAATTCATAGTTTTCTATATATACTTTATGAATATTCAGAAAAGATATTCTCACTGTTAAAATTGTGACTTCATATCATTCAGCAAATGCCTTCCAGTATCTTACACAAGTGTTTCACACTGACAGCATTTTTTCACTTCTTTTTATAAGTTCTGGACCCTGAAAGAAAAGAAAACGACTATGAGCAACACAGGAGGGTTAGGTGCATTTGAACAAGTTGTGAGTATGGCAGCAGTAAGTCAATATTTTAGATCCTTAGTAAGTTTTGTGCAAACTTTGCATATGCAGCATGCGGTCATATATGTCACTGTATTTAATATGCAACTTGCTTTAGCTGTTTGGCTCAGAGTATCTTAGAGTTGGTAAATGTTAAGAAAAGAGTGAAATTGAGTTTTGTTATGAAGAGTTAAGACAGTTCTCCGCGGCTCTGCTCTTTGAGTTGGTTCAGAGGCAGAAGAGAGTAAGAGAATTAAACTTCAGTGAAGGAACATGTCAAATGCAGCTGAGAGGTAGGGAGAGGGAAATTTACTGGAGAATAGAGAGAAATTCATATAGCTCTGCAGTATTGGGTGAAATAAGCTAAACTAATACAGTGAAAAATAAAGGAAAAAAGCCACTGGGGGGAAGGGAAGAAACAAGGATTGCTTTGACCTGGAATTTGGGAAGTCCTTTCCTTCCCTATCACAGAGGACCTTTTGAAGAGAATAATTTG